GATCCAGCGTGAGCGCACTAGGATGTAGTCGATCTGATGTGCAGTGCGACCGTCGTTCGAATACCAGGTGAGAAGATGTTTTCTGGGGTGTTGAAATCGAGTGTTGGTGATATATAATCGATTGTAATCAGAAAAAGCTAAAAGTCTATCACCATTACGGCAGCGCTGATCGAGACCGTGTTTGCCTAGTATATGTTTTGTCGCGTCGTCTGAAGGGCCAGTGCGGGCGTTCCAATCGCCGGCTACTATGAGAACGTCACGCTTTGGGATTTTGTTGATTGCCTCTTGAAGATTGTCATAAAATTCGTCTTTGATACTTTCATCAGAGTCGAGGGTTGGGGCATAGACAGCGAGAACAGAAATGTCGAGCGGGGAACCCTTGAACCTAGCGACTGCAACTCTGGAGTTGACCGGTTCGAATGATATTAGGGCATTATTGGCTTTGTTACTGAGAGCAAATGCTACCCCATGTTGTCCCGAATTATTCTGGGGTCCACTATGAAGCAACCAGAATGAAGAATCTGTTCCAGGTACGGCTATTCGGCGGGAGCCATGATCGGGTAACCTCACTTCAGATAGACACGCTATGTCTACCTTGTAGTCATATAAAGAACGCATGGTGATAGACTGGCTACCAGGATCCAACAGCGTCCTAACATTCCAGCAGCCAACAAATAGTTGGTTTCTAAGTGTTAATTTCCCAGCTAGCTTACTTTTCACACTGGCCACCGGGTGAGCACAGGGCGCGTCGCTTACCGGGAACGCCGTAGCATGGTGAGAGTTGTTTGTAGGAGAGTTCATGAAGTTTCTTGGGAATTTGGTACGAGTGATGTCCCCAGCATCGCTCGGCCTTTTGTTTGAGAGTGCAGCTCTAGCCTTTACACAGCCAAGTGTGACCTACAAGGCAGTAGGAGTGGAGTAAGGAGTCCACTATCCATTGGCAGCCGGTGACCGGAGTTCGGTTCATACGCCTTTTTGAATGGGGCCAGACATCCAGGACATCCAACAAGCCCTTTGTCCATACGTCTGCCGGTGAGCTCCAGTGAGCTTCATACGCCAGTCGTTGGAGGTTTGGAATCAGGGTTTAGCCATCTCCCCTAGACTGTCATCCAATGGACAGTCAACCCGGTGGAGAGCGCCGGGCATCCGCTTTTGCCCTCTCACTTTAGTGAGAAACACCTCCGCCACGTGAAGGCAGTGAGTAGGACTTCCTCAGGAGAGGCTATGTAAGACGCACGGTCATATGGGAGCATTTCAAGAGGTGTGCGGAGGGGTGGCCAACCCGCAGCGCAAGACACCCACCCCCGACCATCCTGAGGCTTTGGAGGCAAGCCAGCTCCTCGACCGGGAATCGAACCCGGGCCTTCCACGTGACAGGCGGAGATACTCACCACTATACATTGACATTGTGCAATTAGGGGTTAGAAATTTAGAAATGACAAAAGTCAACAGGATGTTTGGATAAAAAAACTAATGTGATGAATAATTGTTTATGCAATCAGGGATTAAATATGTAGAAATAGTAAAATGACAAAATAAACACGAAGTTTGGATATGAAAATATGGTAGTGTAAACAGGGATTAAGAAAAACTTATGAAAATAACAGGAATGAACAGGAAGTTTTGATAAGAAAGGCGATGGGATGGTCATTACTTAAAAATTACCTGCCATAGCCATAGCACGAATGTACAGCCTAGATGATGACTTCGTCGAAAAGAAAATTTTCGTTGCTGCAATATTGTCTTCTTAATATCCATTTCCATAGTTTCACATTCATACAAAATAAATTCGTTTTCTTATTCATAGAATTAGACACAACTGCTTATCGAGGATTGAATTGAAGATAAAATCAAAAATCTTGGAAGTACCCTTCTACAAAATGGTCATCTTGCCAACTTTTTGAAGAAGTATGTATCTAGAAGAACTGATAAAATTAGATGGAGCACATGGGGAAAGTTAAAGCCAGAATCAAGGGATGAAGACAGAAGACATTTTACTATCTAAAAGTCACTTATCACAAAGAACAAAGTCAGTACTTGTATATGGTGGTATAAAGACTTACTGCGTCATCAGAAATAATTTCAACGGGTAACTTCAGACTTTGATTAGCATGCGATTTTGCTGATTTAGAAAGATTAGATGGCTGCCTAGAAAGGATAAGTTATCCAGGACTCCTAAAGACAGCATACGAAGCAATAATGTATTGCTCAACTAATATAAAGGAGTACATGGAGATGAACTGAACAGAGGCTGATCAGATCTTCAAGTAGCTACACACATATGCGGTAGGTCCACGAAAAGGAAACCTATCAGGATGTGACAAATTAGTAAAAAGATCCTGTGATGATCTGGTAGAAGCACCGTCGATGCCTCATATTCTCCTTGGATTTCAAGGAATGCGTACTTATAATAAGTCTAATAAAATATTGCGCCGATTCAGAAATTTTCATTAATACGTAATACACTCAGTGTAATGGTTATTCAGGCATATTAAAAGTATATTTTCCTCATTCAAGATGATTACAAATATTTCAAGTTTATGAGTTATACATAAAGTTTGGACTTGATTGACAAATGTAGGAAACGTTGGAATTACTCATTTCAATCTTGCCGTGATTTTACAAATATATTTGTTTTACAAATGCCTACTTCTCACTCAGAGGTAAAATATATTTCAGAACTATTCTGTCAAATCTTGACGGCAGTTCATTTGAATTATTTTGCAATCGAATTAAATTAACAAAGAACCTATATGTAATTGACACTATCATCATTGTGTTTTCACTCTCTGTTGTCTGCAACAGAATTATGCATATCCTAAATCCATCCTTAGCTGTCTAGTCACCTGAAAACTCTCCAGTAGGTCGAATAAAGGAGCTCAATATTCAGAAAGAAGAAAACAAAGCAATAAGTTCGACAGGGTGCTTCAAATAAGCTCTAATCCTTAATACCATAATTTTGAAAATACGTCTAATCATAAAATCTAGATACTAACAGTTTGAACAGACATGAAGGTGTGACGTTAGCTGATGCATAGGAAATCCTGATTAATAATATTTTTGATATATGCGTGTAAAGACATCACTGCAATCCACCTTGTGATACGTCTCTACGGTGTGCTTCGCGGTTGTATGATGTTGGACATTTATTTCTGGGATCATTTGTATACGATTTGTTGTTGCAACCAATTTGGAACAATCTGCAAAAATCGATGGATCCTCCTTATGTACGTGTGTCTACACATTCATTTAAACTGGTTAACACAGTAGGGTGTGACACTATCGTTCAGATGCTTCACGGATTTACAGGACAGCATAGATCTTGTTTTCTCACTGAAGATAAGTTTAGCTGGATAGAAAGTTATATTAATTGCCACTCGAAGTCTTTGTTTAGTGGCCAGACTTTGTTGATCACCCTTGAACGACAAGGATACATGAACATCGTTTTTCGGGAGCCAAATGGGTCATCAGAGCTCTTTATTTGACACTTCTGTATTGATTGCATGGAGGATTTCATCATGAGCTGATATCAGTTAGAGAAGCACTGGAGAACCTGAAAGTACTGGACAGCTGTTTCGTCCTATTTTTGGATCCTTCAGAAGTACGCACCCACCGAGGTTTGAACCCAGGACCTTGTGGTTACAAGGTGAGTTCGTAGACCAGGTTTTCCAGTGCTTCTCTAACTGATGTCAGCTCATGATTAAATCCTCCATCCAGTCAAACTAATTCCCTACAAAACCAATACTTGAAAAAATTAATCTGATGCTCACTAGCGACTGGTCCTATTCACGCAGTTAGCTACCTGGGGTTCTAGTCGGAAGCTGTGACCAGCAGGGTACAGCTGGTTGGAGATGAGGTGGTAACTCATCGAAGAAGACATTGTGAAATGGTCGCTCTATGTCCTGAATTGGCAGAATTTAGAATTCAAGGACCATTAGATCAGGTGGCAGTGGCTCAATGGTCTACGAGCTCGTCTTGTAACCAGGAGGACCTGGGTTAGAACTGTGGTAGTGGTGGTTGCGTACTGCTGAAGATTCCCAAACTAGGCTGACGAAACAGCTGTCCAGTACTCCTAGGTTTTCCAGTGCTTCTCTAACTGATGTCAGCTCATGATGAAATCCTCCATGCAATGAAACAAAATCCCTACTAAACCAATACTTGAAAACTTCTGTATTGCTTAATTAGTTTCAATGGGTATTTTTTATTTACCAATATCTCTGTGAGATTTTGCGTTTCTTCTTTAGTGATATCGGCTGTGCACACATGGTCAATATCTTCTAATATGAATGTGTATCAACAAAATGTCCAAAACGTGTTGTACAAACACACATACACACACACACTACACTTTTCAGATACACTATTATTTATTTTACTATAGCTTGGTTCCATACAGTATTTTGGTACAAGTATGGAGTTTTCAGCATGTTATATTAGTAACCTAAATTTAACAGGCTGACCATTGATATCATGTGTGTATCGGCTGAGGATCGAACCCCGACCAGGTGAATGGTTTGGGAAAGTCCTAAACACTCTGCCATTGACACACACCCTACATCTGCTTATTGTTTTGTTTTCCAAAACTCACTGCCACAGGGAACACAGGGCTTGAAGCTCTGAGCTTTGAAGTTTCAGTAGCAGTGGAGTCTCTTTTTACGGGGTGGGGTAGTTAGCCTCATGCCAAACCTTTCCTTCTTGTCTAGATAAGGCAGGTAAAGGAGTGCACCGGTAGGGAATTCAACCCATCGAGACCACCTGCATGGTTGGCCAACTCTCTACCTTTGAAAAACATCAACGCAAATTCAAAAATCATAAAGGGAAGTAATTACTCAGGCGTTTTAATTAATTCTATTTAGAGACGTCTAGCTGATTCGCTTCTAAAGATGCTTTTAATGGAGAATAAATCAAACTGGATGAATTCATGATTCACAGGAAGGGAAAAATCAAATAGAAGAAGTACATCAATAATATAACATCACAATGTAACACATGTAACTCACCTCAGCGTAGACCAGATCACCAATACGACACGAGAATGGTACATTAGCACCAATACGTTTATAATCATAGAATGACATAGCTCCACAACATTTTAACTAAACAATCAGAATAAAGATTTTAAAGCGGATATAAAAGAATTGTAAAAATTTAACTTACATTCGACTGAATTTTATCAAATTCTGTTTGATATTCAGGTCTGTAGTAATAATAACGTACTGCAGCACGTAAAGCTTCACTTGCAACACTACCAAACTATATTTTCAAAAATGGAAAAAAGGTTAGAAAATGAGATAAAGTGTTAAATAAGAAAAACAGAACAAAACAAAAAGGTGTTGTAACCAACTTTATCGTGAACTACGGAGGATGCTGTTGCTATAGCCAATTGGGTAACCGTAGCAATGCCTAAACCGACAGCATGCTACAAAGAAAAGAAAGAAAGCAAAGTGAAAGAACCATTTGAGAAACCGAAAGCAAAAAAAAGTGCTTACAGACAAAAGACACTAAATTTTTCAAGTTTACGAGATTTCATCATGAGCTAACATTAGTTAAAAGAACTATTGGAAAACCTGCAGAGAGTACTGGACAGCTGTTTCAGTCGACCATTGTTTGGGACTGTTCAGCAGTATGCACCCAACCACCAACGGGGTTCAAAAATCAGGACCTTTTGGTTACAAGTTACAATTCGTGGGTCGTTGGATCGAGTCCTACTGGGTTCAAACCCCCTGTGGTGGGTGCGTACTGATGAAGAGTCCCAAACTAGTCTGACGAAACAGCTGTCCAGTACTTCCTGCCGGTTTTTCCAATGGTTTTCTAACCAATGTCAGCTCATGATGAAATACTGTAAACCAATCAATCAAATCCCTGCAAACCAACACTTGAATACTAAACTTTTTGATTGAACACTAGTCAGTAACTAGTGTGATATGTCAAGTCAGTCAAGTTTACAATGTGGCTACTATCAGGCTATACGGCTCTCCATCATAGTGCACTGTGAATTGTTGGTATTAGATGGTTGGAGGCAATCGGCTACAGAAAAAAAAGCTTTGCTTGGTCTACATTCCCTGTTAGTTGGCACTCATCAGTCAGTCAGTCAGGAGGGCGTATCTGCGATCATCTTGAAGGTATTCATGTTCCCCTTGCTTCTGATATTCCAATCCGCATTACTCAGTACCGACTGCAGTCAAAAACGTTACCACTACGGAGCTTACTGAAATGGCGATTGACTTTCTACGGGACTGTATAGGATACCTATGACTGGACACTGGTGCAGACTGAACTCACTATGAGTCAGTCAAGTTCGCAGTGTGATCACACCATGACCATTGTGTGGTTTGCCATCATGGTACATTTTAAAATGTTGATATATTAGATAGCGTTGTTTAGATTTCGTGTTAGTTGGCACTCACCATCAATTAGCAAGGCGTATATCTGTAGCCTAAGGTGACATGGGTTTGAATCTCAGAAGCAGGGACGTGAGATCCTCCAAGGTGACTGCAGATACACGCCTTGCTGACGGGTGAGTATCAACTAGCACGGAACCTAGGTGAGGTCAAGCATCCTGTGGCCGACTGCTTCCAACTATCTTAGGTCAACAAAAAACGTTATATCAGCAAGTCATTTACGCTCACAGAATATCCTATGGTTTTTATGTACGCAGATGATTCAGAAACCTGGAGGCAGCTAAATCAGGGGGCAATAATGGCATACTGGCTTTGTGAGGAGATTTTAATAATATTTTATTATGGTCCAATGAATAAGTGCTCCGAATCAACATCATGAAGATAGCAATCAAACGAATGCGACACACACGCGTTAGCTTATACGAGAAAGGCTGAATAAACGCTTTCATCAGCCCATACTCTTATAACAAGTCACAGCACACTATCGTCCGGTGACAACTCGAAGTTTTATATCTTTATGGACGATACGCATAGTGTTTACCTAGAATAATCAGCGGTATCCTCACTTCCTTATCTACATCTCCAATGAGGTTGCAATTGGAAAACTGAATCTAAATAATCAGTCTTTGTCTTAACAGGGGCTCATATATTCTAGAAAATATTCAAAGAAAGGTAACACGTATGATTCTTGGCATGAATAATTTATCATACTATGCAAGATTGAAAAGTTTGAGTGTCTCCTCCTTGTCATACTCCAGGCAGAGAGAAGATGTTATAAAAATGTCTAAAAATTTCAAATAATGACTATGAACTGGATGTATATTCTCTTTTCCTTCACACCACATGGGAACACCTTAGAGGACAGAGGAGGAGAGTTCGAAATCCAATGAAGGCGCACATTGCTGTGGAGTACTTGTCACCGCATCCAGATATAAATTCCTGGAACCAACTGCTAGAAGAAGACACCTCGATGCCGTCAACAGACTTAATCAAGAAAGGTTTTGAAAAACACAAAAACTTATTAGAAATTGATTTAAATAGACATCAAGATAGAAAAAAAGATAGATAGATAGATAGATAGATAGGAGACAGCTGCTCTTCTCTGTACTCTCGTGTAACAAAGCAATTTTACATACAGCAAAACAAATAGCAATGAGGAAAATTATTTCTAAGCAAAACTTACCAGAATGAATATAATTGGTCTCCTTTTCCACAGACCAATGAAACCAATACAAGCAACTATGATACTGAAGATTCCACAGAAGATAACTGTCGGAAATATTGCCGGTGTTGCAGCTTTAATTATTGTGTTGTATTTCACCAAAGTTGTCTGTGCTTTTATTCCAATAACGAATAGTATGAAACCAAAGACCTTTGGATTGTATAAAAAGGAAATGCGGTAAATTTAATTAAGAATAGACAGAATTGATTCAGAGTGATAATAAAAAGTTGCATTTTAGGCTCTACAATTGTAAATTTTCTAGCATAGGATAGCACCAATAAAGGTGAATTAGAAATCTAAATCAGAAGGTGTATTGTGTGTGTGTGTGTGTTATTGTTCCCTTAGGTTCCAAGTGGAACTTAGAGCTTCAACAAAACGTCTCCACTTTGTACTATTTTCTGTGGTCGTCTTCAGTTGGTCCAGCGATTGCTCATGGTGTCTGATCTCTTTCTCACACAATTTTCTTCATGTCAAAACTTTGACTCATGCCACACTCATTGTTTATCATCTAGGTTCCATTCAAGCAATGACCTGCATTGACCGCGATGTCATTCGACTGTCTCTTTGGTGTGTGCTCAATCCACCTATACTGACTTCGGCATATTTTATTGAGCAATAGGTCCTTGATCGGGGTTTCTTCCTACAATTCTAACACAGGTACAAGTGTAAGATGGAATCATCATAGTCAACCAGTCAGTGAGTTTTGATTATCGTTTAGAATATAACATAACATAACATAACAATTTCGCTTTTTATTCCAGAAACAGTACTTGTGGTACAGTGTGGAATTTTCAGCACATATCTACAATATCGCACCTAATTTTATCGGACATTTAAAAAGGAGTATTACAAAAAAATAAAATATATAAAAAAACACAACAAAAAAAACCAAAAGAAAAGAAATGCAAATAAAAATACCAAGTAGAAAGGAAGATAAACACCAATAATGAAAAAATACTTCAGTATTGGTTAGTGGAAGCTGTGATATGTGTATGGGTGGTGAACAGTAACAGCTATAATCATACAAGAAGTTATGAGATGTTCCTAAGAATGTTTATAGCCAAGATGATCAGTTGATTTGATTGAACAACACTAAACAATCATAAAATAAACATTTCAGGTTGTGTTTTTTTTATTGTCAGCACTAATGCGGTGTTTGTAGTGGTAGTGTGAGGAATCATGCATAATACAAAATTTTTAAGATGGTGATAGTGGCGTTCACAAACAAGATTGTCAGTTAAATAGTGCCGAACAAAGAACAACCACAAAAATTAATATTACATGATGGTTAATGACAGGACAATTTTGTAATAATCATAGTGATAATATAGTGAATATGTTGAATATGTTTGGTCAATGAGAACATGAGATAAATTTTTTTTTCTTATTTATTTATTTTTTGATTACAGCTTGATTCCACACTGTATTTTTGGTACAAGTATGGAATTTTCAGCGTGGGTATCGGTAGCCCAAAATTCGCAAGCCGACCATAGATATCAGCTGTGCGTCGGCAGGTGATCGAACCTCGGACCGTGTGCGTGGTTGGCGAGAGTCCTAACCACCGTGCCAGCGACGCAGCCTGTATATATAGGTTTCAAGGGGTGGGTGTAGTCCGTCGTGAATTGGACATTACCTTCCAACCAACAAATAGGATAGCTTAGATGTAATTTCAAGGGTGACAAATAACATTAACAATGATGGAATTCAAGGGTGATATATCAAGTGAGATAATTACGAGAAAATTAAGAAAATCAGTTCAAAGAACTTTTACTGCTGGCGAACTACACGTATTATTCTCTGCACGACCGATAGTGCTACCTCGACTGGGAGATGAAGAGCCTAGACTAGCCACTTCAAACTGTATCTACCAATTCAACATTACTTGTAGTGGAGCGAGTTATATTTGCCGTTGCTTTAGGAACTCGATTTTTCGTGCTCGTGAAAATCTCCCACTATGGATAAGTAAAGGTGTAGTTAGAACCATCAACAGTTCGATATTGAACCATCTGGTGCAAACCGGCCACAAAGCCAGCGCAGATGAATCTTTCTCTATCATCTACCAGGTGCCTAATAAATTGTTAAAATCATCGAAGCATTGCATGCTCAAAATAGCATAGGTTATTGTGATTAACCTGAAACAACGAATGCTCTGTGTTCAAAAGAAGCAAGTCAAGCGAGCCACTACTACTGCCCTGGCTGGCCTTCAATAGAGACTATAAATTCATGAATTTGTAATATTATCCTTCCTAATTCTTCTGATATCCAGCTTATTTTATGTTGATGCTAGTGATTTGATGTTATTTAAACAACATTAATGTTGTTGTTCATAACACTAATTCATTTATTCACTATAGTGTATATATAACTGTAGAGCCTGATGATGAAGGGGTTATCGAAAGGAGTACTCTTTGTTCAGTAGCCATTCTTTTGAGAAATGATGGAATATTTATGGGGCACTGCTGAAGAGTCCCAACCTATGACGAAACAGCTTTCCAGTACTCCCAGGTTTTCCAGTGGTTCTCTAACTGATGTCAGCTCATGATGAAATCCTCCATGCAATTATGGATCCGCAGATCTTTTGTATCTCAAGTTAAGTTACACCGGTAAGATTGTGACAGACATTCTAAAATGTCAAACCAATCGATCCATAGAGAGTATACTTCTGATTATGAAACTACTACTCAATTTCTCAATTAAACCAGTACTTACACAGAGAATCAGTCAAAGATAAATTATCACTCATGGCTTCATCAAACAAAATGTACATCTTTGAATTTAACTGCTTCTGTGGAGCTAGTTGCATCGGCTGTACTCAGAGGATCTCATCCATGCAAACACACACATGAAAATGTATCTGTATGGCAGAACCAAGGAGTAAGCAAATGCCAGGCCTACACAGTTACTTATCGTGTTCCTAGTAATCTATCTAGAGGAGCTCGACAACGCCTTAACATGTCAGTAGGTGATATGATAGCAATCAATACCAGAAGATTGGGTCTTTGTATACAGAAGAGGTATGTTCAACCGCTACGTTTATCCTGGCTTACAATAAGGCCAAAAAAATCCTCTATAAACACTGACACTTTAAACCGCTATCACAATTCGTTTTCCTTTTCTTTGACAAATTTTCATTTCTGAACTTTTACGATTTTCAAAAGAATGGCCACTGAACAAAGAGTACTCCTTTCGATAACCCCTTCATCATCAGGCTCTACAGTTATATATACACTATAGTGAATAAATGAATTAGTGTTATGAACAACAACATTAATGTTGTTTAAATAACATCAAATCACTAGCATCAACATAAAATAAGCTGGATATCAGAAGAATTAGGAAGGATAATATTACAAATTCATGAATTTATAGTCTCTATTGAAGGCCAGCCAGGGCAGTAGTAGTGGCTCGCTTGACTTGCTTCTTTTGAACACAGAGCATTCGTTGTTTCAGGTTAATCACAATAACCTATGCTATTTTGAGCATGCAATGCTTCGATGATTTTAACAATTTATTAGGCACCTGGTAGATGATAGAGAAAGATTCATCTGCGCTGGCTTTGTGGCCGGTTTGCACCAGATGGTCCAATATCGAGCTGTTATTAGTATTCTAGGTAGTTCGCCGTCACAGTCTACATTGATTCGATGATATTAGAAGGTTGGAGGCAATCGGCCACAGGAAGCTCGACCTCACCTTGGGTTTCGTGCTAGTTGGCACTCATCAGTGAGCAAGACGTATTTGCAATCACCTTGAAAGAACTCATGTTCCTGCTTCAGAGATTCGAAATCGCGATCTACCTAGAATGTTGGCCACATTGTAAACCTGACTAACTGATAGAATTCAGTCTGCACCAAAGAAACGACAAGACTCACCACACTAGTTACTAGAGCTCGGTTTTTCAATCGAATTCATATGAAGGAGTGGTCTCTGACGGTGACATTGATCTACACTAATGAGTAATTTCAAACTGCGATGAAGTAACTATTCAATATTGTCTGAATTACAATAGTTCTCTAACTGATATCATTTTCAGATGATGAAGTCTACCTTGAAAGTCTACCTTAAACCCCTACAACTTCGAAGGCTAGAATTATCGTGATGATTCATAATAATATTCTCTAAGTGACCTACCTTTTTGCAAACTGATTGGGGTACAAAATCAGTTTGTAGAAAAAGGTTCACACTTAAATTTAGTCAGAAAGGATTTAGTTTTGCTTGTGGTTTACAGTGAAGCTCACCTTAATAGTAATTAATAATAATAATAATTCGCTTTATTCCAAAACAGTGTCTATGATTCTTTTTTATTCCTCCGCGTTCCCAGTGAAACATAGGGCACCTTCAAGCTAGAGGTTTGCAGTTTCTGTAGCAGTGGTGATAGGGTTTTTAGCCTCATGTCCAACATTTCCTCTTTCGCCAGTCTTATTACTGGCTTGGCGAGGTAAAAGAGTGCCTTGGTGGCTGGAGATCGAACCCCAGACCGTATGCATAGTCGGCGAGCATTCTAACCGCTGTACCACCGACGCACAGCATTTAGTTTAATACTGCTGCAGCTAATCTGCTTGACAGCAGCAAAAAATCATCATTATTACAGGGTATAGACAAAGGAAATTGATAATAACAGCTTATTGGTATGAGCAATGACAATAAATTCATAAATGTAAGGGAATGATGATAATTTTATTAACTATCTGCCGGAGCAGTGACAGTCTACATGTCAAGGGAACCAACGCTTACAATAGTATCATCGCCAGGCATCTCCTTGACACGAGGCATGAAGTAAAAATCGCAAATCATTTTTAAAATCGTCAATTTTTCTCAAGTTTGCTCAAAGCAATTTTTCTCAACCGCCTGAAACCCAACTTGTATGTTCTGAAAGAAATAGAGTATTATCAGTCTTTAGTTGCTCATCCTGGTAACTGGATGTCTTTATTCTCTCCCTCTATCACTCTTCCATCTGATTGCCAAGTCTTTGGCTTCAGCCTAAATCACCGCCCCTTTGATATAGTATAATTTCGCTTGTCTCTTGTTTCTATGACTTGAGTTCAACTCAGCACTTTGTCAACCAATTTATTAGTAACTCGTCAGCTTATGCATCTCTCTTCTTTATTGTGTAACTTCTGTACCACTGTATGCATACCGCGATACTGCTTAAACTTGACATTCCTGTGTAAAAACTATTTAAGTGTAATTTTCTGAGCACTACTTTTCACTTAGCTCAGAACATCTTATCAACTGATATTATGTAAAATTTACAAGTATGTTAAAATCATTTCTGTAAATAAACTTATTAATAATAATAATAATAATTTATTTAGGCTATGAGCAGCATCATTGGCTGATGAAAAGCCAACGAAATAAGCAGTGATGGTACTATCGTGTTGTTCCCCGAAAACCGTTGTTGTTATTGATTTATTCAAATAAAACTGCAAAGTGATTGAAATGGTGTCCCAGCATGAATTACAATGCAAAGAAGATCAAAGAGCTATTTACTTTACTAATTACAAGCTACCTAGCTATGCCACTTCTTAATTGCTCCTGTTTAGTTAGTTGGCGATATAGGGCGAAAACGTAGACGGCTCAACAAATGTACTAATGAGCATCTTCCTACATGGTTCAAAAGAGGCCTAGTAGAATCTATAAGAAGTTCTGTCTTGTCTTAATTGACAGATGATAGTGGTTACCAGATGGACAGATGGAGAAGAAGAAGTGCCTTCAAAGTTATCTATCGCATTCCATCGACACTGTCGAAAGGAATAAGAACTCGTCTGTTAAACACAGAGCCTACGAAGCTACAGAAATTAATTTGAGAGGACAATTCTAGTTCCTCTACATACAACGAAAGACGTTTTTTCTACCTTTGTCTCACCCTTGCTCGCTTAGGTAAATTCTAATTCAAAGAAAGCCTCTCACCTTTTCTTGTATTCCATTACCTTCATACCTTTATGATAATAATTATTCACAAAATTAGCCATAGATCGTCTACACGCTACGCTATAGAATCAGGTCACAAAATTGATTTTGGCGATATTGAAATCATCATCATCCAGAAACAGCATTTCAGAAATCACGAAGAACATCTCATATCATCAGATGCACTTCATATGATCAAATGGAATCCAAATTGTCCGAATAGGAATCATGGACTGAAGCAGAATTTGACCTGGCTACAACACTCCACTTCCCCACCCATGAAATAACAAAATCAACACGAATGTGATAAGCGATTGCATTATGTCAACACCTGCCGCTTTTATAATTTCACACACTTATCAAGTCCAACAGTCATCAACACCTGGTTTTGTTATCTTAACCAATTAGACAACTTGACAACGCAAAAAGGACCCCATACTGAGGGATGATGATTAAGTTCTTATATATAAGCTTATATTTTGTGAATTCTGGTTTAATTCCATTATGGGTAAATTTTGTTTTGAAAAAGTCTCACAGCGTTATACAGTAATGTTTACTAATGACGTTTCGAGCACAATTTATTGCTCATAATCATATCAAGGTTGATATACCCATAATGGAATTACACTCTACCACAGTGCACAAGTTTTATTCTTATATCAATTCTGGTTTAATATTGCTACTCTGATAAAGCTATTAGCAGCAGCATTAAATAGCGAAACGTCAGTGAAATGAGACAATATCATTTTGTCTTTTTCATTCATTCATTCATTGGGAAATACAAAAAGTACCTTTATAATAATGAATGTCATATACGTGATGCTCATTTTTTTTAACTGTTAAAAGTGAACTTGGCTTGGACGTATATAACTTAATTATTTGAACTCTGATTATCTGTCTTACGCAACTTTCAAGATTTGACCTTATTCATTTATTGAATTGTCTACATGTGCATATATCACTCACTACCTCCGTCATTTTCATCGCCCCACCTGCAGCATAAACCTTATTATCATTATTTTGTTATCATTATAATCATCGTTATTAGTGACATTCAAAGCATTTACCACACTATTATTATTTGATCCACAAAATCGCCATCACTGGTTAAACTTTGCTCTATATATAAATATATGTAAATTAGAGTGAGACCTGAAGAAGATCTAATTGAAAACAGTAATATTGTTCGCTTATATTATCTTGTTCTAATATTAATTTTTTTCCTTCACGTTCCTAATGGAACATAGGGCCTCAAGCTAGAGACTTGAAGTTTCTGTAGCAGTGGTGTTTATTTTTACAGGATGGGGCTGCTATCCTCATGCCAAAACTTTCCTCTTTAGTAGCTACATTTCTGGCTTAGCGAGGTAAAGGAGTGTGTCTGTGGCCGGGAATCAAACCCTGGGCCATGTGCATGGTCGGCGAGCGTCCCAACCGCCGCCGTGCCACCAACGCAACTCTAATATTAATAGTGGGAATATTTAAAGAACAGCATAGTTAGTTGTAAGTTATGATTTGTCACCCTTGAACTTACGTCTAGTCTGTACCATTTGTTGGTTTATTCCTCTGCAGTGTACTCATACTGTCTCTCTCTCGTACACACACACACACACCACTGATTACAATCACCCTTAGAACCTATACTATTGTCGACATTATACATATTCTATAGAATAATCACAACTAACTGAATATCACTCAATCTTGTATCTTGTATCACACAGTACACCTTCTGATATAATTCTAATTTGCCATGAATATTGAAAAAATCGATAGATTTTTACATTTGAGGAAAAAGAATAACACTACTGAAATCACCATTACTCCCCCCCCACACACACACATACACCCGGCTCTCCCTACCCCCCCCACTAATTATTCCTGTTTCTTGAATAAATCATCAGAACATTGACACACTTTAAATCTCAGGATTTCATTATCATGAACTGATATACTTATGGAAGGATCATTGAGGGAAACCATCTTGAAGGTATCGAGTAATTTGTGTAGCCGAAAGTTTTTTTTACCAATGCTTCTCTAACCGAATCCCATATTAGTTTGTTTATTAGATGTATCACACAGTGAAACAGTATTATTGTTTCATTGAATGACAAGGTTTCGAACAAAATTTATTGTTCATAAACATATTATCAATTGTAATCGCACGGCTTTGAAACTTGAGTTCTATAGTTTTCTTTGTCTTCTCCTATTTGTCATAGCGGTAGTAGAATTTTCCATATATCTAGGACAGGTGTTGAATCATTTCTTTTACATGTATTTGCAGTTGATTCGATAAACAAAGCATCCGTTGTTATCAATCTCTCCCTCCATCCACCCTGTGACATTAGATTTTAAAACTGTCATCCTATCCCATCCTATTACATGGTTGTGTGTGACTGCATGTAGTGCTATAGCTGAACCATTCTCTAAATTTCTTACCTTATTTGGGTCAACCAATCTAGATTTTGCTGCTAGGTTTTTATGTTCAGCTAGTCTGATTGTCCCTGTTCTCCTAGTTTGATCTATGTATTTGACCTGACAATCATTACAGGTAGGGTATTTGGATAAACTAAATTGTTTTGTTTTAAAGGCTCCACAGGATTGATCCTTTAACCGACAAAGCGTGTTTCTAATTGAGTTTCTGGGTTTAAATGTTACTTTTATTCCTGTTTGCCTTGTTAAGAATTCTGCGTAAGGTGGCTTCCGAGGTTCCTTCCTTGTATGGAATTACTACTGATGATTTAGATTGCTTATTGTTGGTGTCGTCATTAATATTATTATTATCAATATTATTGTTATCATTATTGTTATTATTATTACTATCACTATCGCTATTATCATTATTTATTTTATTTTCACATTTACTTACATATTTCCTGACTAATTTATCCAGGTAATTATTAAGTTTCAAGGCTTCTTTTATGTGTATCACTTCCTGTCTTAGATTTTCCTTGGTACTATTTAGTTTTTGTGCATTACTGCCACTTAAACATTTCACTAATCCTATTTTTACTGACATAGGATGAGATGATCGGAAGTTCAAATATCTGTTTCACTGTGTGTGATACATCTAATAAACAAACTAATATGGAATTACTTACTACCCCAGTGCCCAAGTTTTTACACATATATTAACCTCTAACCAAATGTCAGTCAATTCATGTGTCATGATAAAATTGCCTAAGAGTAATCAAATCAGATGAAATTAGATCAAATCTTTGTAAAGTTATACTTGAAAGACAAATTTATCAATACAATAATAATAATAATCACAATAATCAAATGAGTAAAACTCACCGCAAATAGACAATTCAATATTACAAATACATTTGTCCATAATTTTTCCGATAATGACAGATTAACTCCCATTGTCGTTGTGGTTCTTGTTGTCTTGAGTAGACTGATACACCTACAGAGTTATAGAGAAGACTCTACACGAAAAAATATGTTTATATATATATATATGCGTGCGAAAAAATTTAGGAGGAAATTTAAATCAGACTATTTAATTTTTTGCGTAATAATATTGCTGATTCTATACAGACACACACTCTCCCTCTCTCTCTCTCTCTCATGCACACACACATGCACACACACACACAGACTACTCAGTATATTACTTCATTGATGTCAGTGTGCTCTACACACTGATACACACGCGCCCAGAGGCATTATACGCATATCCCCCATTTATCTGATGAAAGGCAAAGCACAGACAGTAAGTAGCACAGTGACTGCCTTTACAAATGTCTTTTCTTCTCACTGCTTTCGCACCCAAGCAAGCACACACACACACACACAAACATACACAGAGAGAAAGAAACCCAAAAACATTAAGAATACAAAAAAAGTTATCGCTGTAGTAGCTGTTTCAACAGGATAAATTCTGTGTAAAAAATAAAAAACGTTGAATAGACATGTACTCTATTATTTTTAATACATCTCTACAAGAGCATAATTGTCTATATTTTGTTATGTGGATGCATGCGTGTGTGTGTGTGTGTGCGTGTGTGCGTCCACGACTTTATTTGAGTCTATCTTCTTCATAAGCAAAAGTTTTTACATGTGTGTTGATTGTGTAATTCTTATTGAAAAATAAAATCAATATGGTTGCTTTTTTAGTAAGGTAGTTAGTAGTAGTTAATAGCAGTAGTAATGAGCGACACTGAAGAAAATGTCAGTCATTCTGTTTGGATTCTATTAACTTAATTACCTGTTTTATTTTTTTAGTTATATTTAGTAATTAAGCATGTTTTTTATTAGGGGTGGTTGTATTGTGGTTGTTGTTATTACTAGTGAATTGATTTATATACCTATGCATTACTATCCTATAGATTTTCTTTTAATATTGACATTTTTTGTGCTGAAACGTTCAATTTTGAAACAATTAGTCCCCTTTCACTCTATTTCGATAGACAGACTTCATTTGATTCTGTAGAAAGCGAAGAAGAAATTTTTCCAGTCAACTTTCACCTTATTGATATAAGAAGAAAATTTGTGCACTGTGGTGGTAGAGTGTAATTCCATTGTGGGTAAATTTTGTTTTGATAAAGTCTCACAGTGTTACAGTAATGTTTACTGATGACCCCGTTTCGAGCACAATTTATTGCCACTCATAATCATATCAAGGTACTCACTCACACGACTTCCTAAATTCATTTATATAGTTCCATCATTTTTCACTTGATTTGATTGGCAGTAGTATTTTCCATATTTCAGGTATGTGTGATGAATCATTCCTATTGCATGTGTTTGGTGTAGACTCGATGAACAAGAATTCAGTAATCAACCTCTCTCTCCACCTATCTAGATTACTTTATAGAATTTTAACCCTCTCCCACTCACCCTATTGTGTGGTTGTGTGTTAGAGCATGCATTGGAATTGCTGAGCGTTTTTCTAAATTACTCATCTGCCTTCTCAGGGTCAACCATTCTTACCTTAGCTAAATTCTTATGTTCAGACAATCTGACTACCCCTGACCTACTAGTTTGACCTATGTAGTTGACCTCACTCACAGTCATTGCAGGGTATTTTGTAAAGTATATTATTTTGTCTAATTGGGTCAACCGACAAGGTTCTTTAATCTACAGAGCTTGTTCTACCTGAGTGAGTTTGTAGGTTTGAATTCCACCCTAATTCCTGCTTTATTTAGAATCCTACGTAGGGTTTCAGATGTCCCCTCTTTATATGGTATAACTGTGGATGACTTATATTCTCTCTTATTTATGTTATTATTACTAGTTTCACAATTATTTTTATTTTTCGTTTGGCCTTTTTCGATCTTCCTAATGAATTTTATAGGATAGTTAGTTATTTAACACCAACCAACGCTTCTTCTATCTGTTTTAGTTCATCATTCAGGTCTTTTCTCGTACTACTTAGTGCTACTTTCACTTTAAGACAGAATTCTAAGTTGAAGAAAGACAATGGTTCAAATTTTTAAAAAAATAACGATCAGAGATCAATGAGCCGCTGGGACCCGATCCAATGGCCAGCCAATTCATGAATAACTTCAACCAAATTAGCCACATAGTACAACCATTTTGCAATGTCTTCTTCGATGAATTACTGCTTCATCTTCAACCTGCTGTAGCCTACTAGCCTTGTAACCATAAGGCCTTGGGGTCGAACCGCCTGTGGTAGGTGCGTAATAATGAAGAGTCTCAAATTAGGCTGACGAAACAGATTTTCCAGTGGTTCTCTAACTGATGTCAGCTCATGATGAAATCCTCTATGCAATTAAACTAAATCCCTAGAAAAACCAATACTTAAAAACGATCAATTTAAAGACAGCCAAATATTGGAGAGGGCAATATTTAAATTTCCACAGCTTCTATTCACTATAGTAATAAGATTGAATGGTTTGATGAAATGTTTATTCAAGAGAATTCAGCGTATTTGTACAGGGGATGATGTCATAGAGGATTCCAATACAACACTGATAGATATTTTCATTGAAAAAGGATATCAGTATACAATTGGTGTATGGTGACTAGCACAGTGGAATCCAGGATGCGCATTTCGTCCTATTTGGAACTCGTCAGCTGGATGTACCTGCATTTCTCAGTGAGTGATGATGTTCTCACTGAGGCTCGAATCAATTGTATACTAACTAAATGCCCAGACATCGTTGAAGCACCTGCACAAGAAGCCGACAGACATGTCAACCTGAGACCGTACACTTTGGTCCAATCAATCGACGGGAAAATCAAAATTCAATTCAATAAGAAAAAGGATATCCTTTAAAATTTTAAAATCGATGTAGAACTTAGGTAGTTGGTTTAAAATGCACACTCTTTTCTGTCCTTAAGAAAGATGCTTTCAAGTATTGGTTTTATTGGGATTTTTCATTTGATTGGTTAGAGGAATTCATTATAAGTTGACATCATTTACAGAACCATTGGACTGGACAGCTGTATGATCAGTCTAGTATGGGAGGGACTCTTCTTCAGTACGTAACCCACCAACAGCGGGTTCGAGACCTTGCACCATCTGGTTACAAGGCTAGTGAGGTCGTGGAACATTCATCAGCCACTGGCACTTGACCCGATCCAGTTCATGAATTCAAACGTCTCCCAATTCATAACATGGCGTGACCACTAGCCAATATCTTCTTCAATGAGTTACTGCCTCACCTTTAACCTGTTGTATCCTACTGGTCACCGCTATCCACTAGAACTCCAGGTCAATTGTGTGAATATGGCCAGTTGCTAGTGAGCATCATATTAACTTTAAAATATTGATTTTGTAGGGATTTTTTGTTTGATTATTTGGAGAGTGCAGCAGGTTGACGGTGAGTCAGTAACTCATCAGAGAAGACATTGTGAAGTGGTCGCGCTATGTCGTGAGTTGATAGAAGTTACAATTCGCTGGCTGGCCATTGGATCGGGTTCCAGTGGCTGCCAAATGGTCTGCGAGCTCGCTAGCCTTGTAACCAGAAGGTGCAGGGTTTGAACTACCTGTGGTGGGTGCGTACTGTGGAAGAGTCCCGACCCATGTTGATGAAACAGCTTTCCAGTACTCTCTGCAGGTTATCTAATCGTTTTATAACTTATTCCAGCTCATGATGAAGTCCTCCAACCAATCAAAGATGCTTCCACTTAAGCATCTACTACACAATGAAGAAGTAAATAGTAGGATAGTAGTAGACAATGACAAAATTCGGTCATCCGCCGAACCTGTTATGCAGCTCAGCCTATAATTATTGAAAAAGCTAAAAAAAAACATGCTCCACTTTAAACCTCGAAAGTGCACAAGCAATTGTATTTGGAAAATCGATTGGCACTGGTGGCAGTCTACCAACATCGTCTATGGTTAAACATTTAATCTATTTGAATCCCAAGGTTGATATCAAAACAACTCTGTAGGTTATTTTCAGAATCAGTCAAGGGCACCTGTTGAAATGCACTGAGACGATAGCTATTCATTAACTCAAGCTGAATTCGTTTAGAAGACCAGTGGCAAACTACTAGGGAGTACTGAAGAGCAACTATTTTTTCCTAGTTAAGAGCACTTCACAGGCACATGCCCAGTAGGTCAGGTGTAAGGACAAGTACTCGCCACTGCGGCCAACGGTGACATCGACTAGTGCCAGTTGCACTGTATCGTGAGTAAGAAGTAGGATATCATGGGGTGACTACTCAGTTGGGTCCAAGTGGAGGGATAGTATAGGAGCCAGTTCACCTTGTAGCTGAAAAGTCCTGGTGGGTTCAAGCCCTAGCGGTAGGTGTGTTACGTCGAAGATCCCCGGAGAGGAAGGAAAAAAACAACTACACAGTATTCCCTGCTTGTTTTCCAGTGATCCTCTAACCAATTTCAGCTCAAGATAAAATCCTGAAACCAATCAACCCCTTGCAAACCGGCACTGGTATACCTTATTTAGCCTGTATTTTTGTTTTGCCGAGTTGATCACGGATTAAAATCGATGAGAGAAACATTAAAAATCCTCAGGGAGTAATGGACAGCTGTTTCATTCCAACTAGCTTGGAAATCGTCGAAAGTACGCCCCCCCCACCGCTAGGATTTGAACTCAGAACCTTCCGGTTACAAGGCAAGCGAGCTCATACACCATTCAGACACTGGCACCTGACCTGATTCAGTGGTCAGCACATGAAATCTAACTTCTATCAATTCGTGATTTCACATGACCACCAACCCATGTTATCGGAGGGAAATCCATCCTCACACTTGACTGTATGAGCCTGTATCAATTCACTAGCGAACATCAAATAAATTTTCAATATTTAGTTTGTAGGGATTTTTTTTTTGATTTACAGCTTGATTCCACACTGTATTTTTGGTACAAGTATGGAATTTTCAGCATGGATATCGGTAGCCCAAATTTTGCAGGCCGACCATAGATATCAGGTGTGCGCCGGCGTGGGCTCGAACCTCGGACCATGTGCATG